TCAGGTAGTGGGAGAGCATTTTGTAGTAGAGAACCTGTGGATTGCAGCAATTTGTAGAAGAACCACATCTGAGGCGACTGCGTTGAAGGAGACAAAGCATAAAGACAATCGAAAGAATCACGCGACTGGTCCGGGATTCAGCGGCATGGGCCCGTGGCTGGACAAGCTTTAGGGGCGCAGCCAGAGAGATGTGGAGCAATGAAACGGGTTTGGGCAGAGAACAGCGAGTTATATAATGAGGTTGCATGTAGGTTGATTTTACTGTTGATTTTGTAGTAAGCAAGGTTGGTGTGCTGCACTTTGTAGAACTATATGCAGACAAGCGCAGTATGAAAGTTTGGAATAGGTTCAGTTTTGAGCGTGTCGGAAAGTGCCCGCGACTTCAGTTGCTTTGGCTAATCTGAGTGCTGCGCTTGCAAGTGGCATTGCGCCATCAAGCCATGGACATTCCATTTGTCGTATGGTTTGGTCTTTGCGCTGTTTGCTTTCTCTTGGGAGTAGCAGCTGCCTCTTGTCCATCGTGGCCTGTGGAAAGGCGGCGAACAAAGAGCCACAGCCACAGCCACAACCACCGCCCTACAGCACACCGAACTGGACAGCGGAGGAAGTCGCTGCAGCAGCGTTGCCAGCTAGGAGCATCACTCCAAGGCAATCCATGCTGAGGAGCAGGAGAGTGCATGAATTCAGAGACAGTGACAATGAGGACACTGGTGACGAAAGTGCGCAAGAAGAAATAGCCACTACAAAATGACTTTTCCAGATCCACCTTGAGACATTGATATCAACATAACTGCCCACTGCCCACTACAAAATGCATTGTCCATGCATCTTTGATCAGGCCAAATCATCAGTCAAACCTTGGCTGACTACAGATTGCTATTTTATAGTGGCCTTGACGTCCATCATTCTGTAGTGGAAATTTTGTCAGGGATTGTAATGGTATGTATGTATGTATGTATGTATGTATGTATTTTTTCCTAGAGGTGGGCACGAGGCTCTTTGGCGAGTTTCAGGGCCTTTGGCCAGTTGCTACCGTTGCAGTTGCCACAGGTGGTCTTCTGCTGGTGGTAGTTGCCGCCTTTTTAGAAGTAGTCGACTTCAAGTTCGGCCTTCTCGTCAGCTGTTGCCAGAGGTCTGGGGTTCATGGCAAGTGCAGACAGCCGTTGATTGAGGTCGTGATGCTCTTGGTCTTCCAAAGCACTTTGTTCCTGAGCATCTAAAGCGGTCTGAAAGCTGAGCCTCCTTGGTGTGGGCTGAGCTGCAGCGGCTGCTGGTACCTGAGGTTCAAGCTCTGGGCTGTGGCTGCTGGAAGAGTCCTTCTTTTTGAAGTACTCGCTCAGGGGCGGTGATCCCTTGGTGCCTGCACCTTTGCAAGGTTTGTGGAATGCCTGGGTCGCTATGACACGTTGCTGACCATCAAGATTCCATGCGGCGCCGCATTGAGTGCATTTGACTCGTTCTCCAACCTGCCATAGTGCATGACTCAGGTGGCCTTGATGACCTGCTGTGTAGGCCTGGTTGACGCAAGGGCTTTGAATGAAGGCTGTGAAAGCGGCCTCATTCACTCTTTTGTGGATGTTGAGCACACAGACCACACATTTCAGGTAGCCAGTGGTCTCGGCGAGGTGGTGCTGACCTGAGATGGGCTGTGCCGGTTGGCTCTCCAAAAGCTCCTTGATGTGTTGTGCTCTGGTCTGCTTCCGGGGCAGTGGAGCAGCCTGTGTTGCTGTTGGAGGGCCCGTCTCTATCAGCATCTGAGGGCAATCTTCATTCAACCTTGTCTCCAGGATCTCTGTCGTGAGGCTTTGATGCATCCGGATGCCGCAGCTGCGGCATTGAAAGCCACTTCGCTGGTGCGGCTCCCAGTGATGATGGTTGTCAGCCCACTGCTTGCGGCACCGGTTCACCAGCTCTTTTTTGTACTGCTTTGTGTGTTTTCCTTGGTGACGAGGTGCCTTTTGGTGCACGTAGTGCATGTTATCAGCGTAGATCCTGCTAAGGCGGTTGACAGCATGCTCGTAGATGAGCTGGTGGTCCTGATCCAAGGTCTCTTGCCACTCTTCCTGCTTGGCATCATAGAAGGTTTTGGCCCTTTCCCATGCTGCTAGGGCTGCTTCTCTTTGCCTCCTGCGGAGCTGGGGCTCATTGGCTGGAGCATCTGGTGTCCTGGTGTTCTTGCTGATGTATAGTACCGTGACTCTTTGGTAGTCGTGGGGTGGTACGTCAGCAAGGAGGTCCATGTAGGGGCTGCGGTGCTTCGGGTGGTTCCAGGCTTCCCAGACACTGACAAGCTGCACAATGACCTTGACTTGATCCGTTGTTTGGTTGGCCAGGGTCACTAGGCCTGCCAGCAGGGCCCTGATCTTGGTTTGGCTGCCTTTGGGTACTCCAGTTAGAGTGCCAAGTCTCTTGAGTTGCCCCAGAGCCATGGTGTGAGCACAGAGTCCATATACCCACATCTGACTGCGAGTGTCATAGGTTGAGGGCGTGGCGTCCAGCGTGAAAGCCCACCCAGAGTGCTGTTGGAGGGGTATGACTGGCAGTCCTGCCCAGCAGCCGTGACCTTGCATCGGGTGGTCTGCTGTTCTGGCGTCTTGTGGCTCCAGCGGTATCCATCCATGTGCCCATAGGGGCTCTTCTTCTTGACTTGTGATGCGGTTCATCCATTCCGGCGGCATGGGATCATGGTTCTGGTTCTTGTGCCACTTGCGCAGCCAAAGGATATGCTTTGGTGTTGCTGGGACTCCACAGATCGGGCATGTTTTGGTCTGGTGTGCATCCCTGGAGTGGATTGCCGCCTGCACCCATGTATCCAGATTGTGCTGTTGTTGAGGCTTGAGCTTCTTCCTCACTTGGCGATAGGTGTGCCAGTCCAAGCCTGTTAGTAGGTGTTCATAGTGCTGTCTGCTGGCCAGTCTGTTGGTGCGTTGCCATTGTGCCTCCCGTGTGAGGGTGGGCTCAATTTGCCACCATGGAGCTTGGAGATCAATCTGCTGTGCCAGCAGAAGCTGGGTTTCTGGTCGGTTCCAATGAAGCAGTTCTTGCGGCTGCCAACCCCATTCAAGGAGGTAAACAATGGTTGCAGCCAGGGGCCCACGAACACTGTACCAGGGATATCGCTTTTCCTGGAGCTGGTGGTATGTCTGTCGCCATGCCTGTTCCAGGGCCTGGATTTGCTCGGGTGGCCATGCCTGGATGAGGTGGTGGACGGCCTTGATATGGTGTATCAGGACTTGATCACTGGGGTCGATGTAGCGCTTGGCATGAATGTCACAGGTGACATCTAGCAGTCCCCCAGTGTGGTGTCCAAGATGCTTGCCCATACCTTGGCGTAGGGCTGCTCGGTAGCGTGGGGCCAATCCTTGACTTTCAACCCCCCATAGTGCCACCGGTTGAATGCCGCCTCTGTGGAGTCTCAGGCGGACTTTTAGGGCTGGAATCTTCAAACTGCGCAACTTGACTTTGCGGTCTGTGGCCTTCTTGATGCGTTGCTTCATGACTGGGATGCGTCGTTTCCTGGCTGCCTGGTGGTCATGCCCAAATCCCGCATGACCGGTGCAACTTGGGGTTCATCATCCTGCAGCAGGGCTTTGAGCTCTCGCTCGGTGGCTTTGTCAGTGGCCACAAAGGCAGTCTTCTTAGGGTTGACTTGCAAGCCCAGGCTCAGAAGCCTCCTGTGAAGGTCCCTGTAGGCTTCAACTGCTTCTTTGGCGGCTTGAAGGGCCGTGGGACTGGCAGTATCGAAGCCGACATCATCCACCCAGCTAGAGAGGTGAATGGCGGGGTGTTGCTGTTGCCATGGTTGTAAGGCTGGTGCCAATACTGCCTTTGCAAGCAGTGGTGCCTGGGGGCATCCGGCCGGCACGCCGTTGGTGACAGTGAAAAAGGGTGTCATCTCTTGTTCAGCAACGATGGCTTTGGGACCATGGTACACCTGGAGCGCCATTTCCAGCATGAGCGGAGGGTAACTGAGCTTGAGAGCCTCAGTCTCTAGTTGTTGTAAATTGATGGTGTCGTAGAAGGTAGACATGTCCATCAGGCATGTCACTCCATGCCGACCATTTGCTCGGTGGACTTCTTGGCGCAAAAGCCTCTCCAGGGCCACGTACAGCACAGTTGCAGCGGGTCTGGCTCTGTCGTGGTTCATGGCTGGTGGGAGATGTTGCTGCCAGGCATCCAACAAAGGTTTGCGGAGCCGGCACCATACCCGGTATAGTAGAGAGGTCAGTGTGATGGGTCTCTCTTTGGCTGCATTCTTGGGAAGCATGACCACCATGTGCATTTGCTGTTGAGTTGGCAGTTGGACTTTCTCCTCCATCTCTTGATAGAGAGACAAGAGGGCTTTGACAGCCAAAGGTGGAGCTGTGCGCAGCAGTTGAGCAGTAACAGCATCAGGACCGCATGCTTTGTCAGGAAGGTGGCGAAGAGCCCATGTCAACTGGCTGAGGGTGAGCGTCTCAAGCTGTTGGGCTTGGTCTCTCGCCAGGCTTTGGAGGTGTTCCCTGGCTGGTGGCCGTTCATCCTGGTTGATTTGCCAGAGCTGCCCCCAATCTTTAAGCCTTTGGGTCATACGTTCATCGGGTGAGGTTCCTGTAAGGCCGTTCCCAAGCCAGTTCACTGCTGCGAAGACTGCGGAAGAGCCCTTTAAGGCCTTTGGTGTAGCCCTGGGTCAGCCAAGCTTTGTATTGAAGGTGGCTCTCATCGTTTGCCGCTTGTTGTGCTAATTGAAGTTGATGTTCGATAGTGTGGTTGACCAATTTGGCCGCATGACTGTCTTTGTATTTGTGCCAGTGGTGACAGGTGTCGAAGAACTGGCCCCATGTCGGCGTGCCAACCCAGTGTTTGGGTGCATCAGCAGTGGCTTGCATGAAGCCCTTGGTGGGTCCTCGAACCTGCTGGGGAGGCTGTTGGAGTGCAAGCTGGAACCTGGCCCGAAGTTGTTCCCAGTAAGCTGGTCGGCCCCTTTTCCACGTTGTGATGGTGGTGACTGGCGCCAAAGGCTTGTGACTTGCCCTGAGGTTGGACCCTCGTCCTTGTGCAGCCCAAGGGTGTTCTTGTAAAAGGTATTGTTCTGTGCGTGACAGCCAGTCCGCCCATGCTTGTGCTGTGTCGTTGACTGGGTTACCATAGAGGTCCAGTTCATAGGCTGTGGACTTGTATGTGCTCCAAGGCCTGAAGTCGATGTCTGGGGTGGCTGGAAGCGGTGGGAAGTACTGTATTTGCCGGTATTCTTTGGTGGCCTCTTCAATGTTGAAGTGGTACGAGATGAGTGCATGAGGCCTCCATGGAATAGCCCATTCAGTAGTGAGAGATGTGGTGCTGGCCAGCTGGTTGTGGATCAGGGCATAATCTATGACATTGCCTGACAAGAGGCTGGCGTCTGGCGAGAGGACCTCAAAATGAAATTTGGAAGGCAGCACAGTGCTGGTGATGCTGCCAGGGCTGTTTTGCCAATCCCCCAAGAGCACAAAGGGGTGGTTGGTGGCCTGAACCAGTGCCAAGAGGCGGGCAAGTATGGTGGCATTGACATCACTTTGCAACGTTTCACCTGTCTTCATGTAGGTGCCTGCCACAAGGATGGTGCACTCCGTTGCTTGCCAGAGAAATGCTTGAAAGCCGCAGCCTTGGTTCGTGTAGGATTCCAAGGGTGTGAGCCCACACGAAGGGTCTGCAAGCACCAAAATGCCTCCATGCGTGCCGGTGTTGCTTTCATTCGGTTGTGCTGGTGTGCCAAAGGCAGTTCTGCCTCGGATGGAGAAATATTGGCAGGTCTGTTGACGCTGCTGTGGATCAAGATGAGTTTCAACCAACACGTACACCTCGCTTTGCCTTGACCAGTACCAGTCCAGGACTTGTCTCCCAAAATGAGTCACATTTGCAAAATTCAAATTGTTGTGTGGTTGCTCCACTCTGGCCTTCTTTTCCGGGCTGGGGTGTAGTGGTGGATCGAAGTCTGGCTCTGCAGGTGGTGGCAAAGAGCGTAGGACCTGTTGGGTGGTCCTGAAAGTGTCGATGTGCACTGCCCACACCTGTGTGACTTGGCTGGCCAGCTGTGGTGTCAAGTGCTCCAAGTGCATTGGCGGTTTGCCATCGTCAGCTATCCACATCAAATCCCGATAGATGAGGATAGCAAAGTAGTGTCCTGTGTTGTGGGTCTTCCCTTGATGGCATATCAGTGCAGCCGGCACAAACTCTGAGGATGCTCTGGCAAAACCATCTAGGGATCTGGGAACTGTGAAGCTGCCGTAGGTGTTCACCAGTTTGCTGTGCTTTGTGGGTGTGCCATTGATCGTAGTGTTCCTGGTGATGTGGCTGACCAAGACTGGTTTGTCGTCCATCAAGTATTGCCCGAGTCCTGTGTTCGCCCATCCGTTGAAAAGGTCTTGGAGATTGGTGACCTCTGGCCCGTCATCAGGAAAAGGGATCAGGATGGGTTGCTGGATGTGATCGATTAAGTATCCACCTGGCTGGATCTCTGCATATCTGTAGTGGAAAGCTCGTGTTTGGGAGACATTCCAGAGCGTGTTGACAAAGTGGTTGGCATCACCCTCAATGTTGAGGTCATGTTTCCTCCACATAGGTTTCAGGCCGGGAAGCTGCTGGATGTCCACTGCTTCCGCCATCTCTAAGGACTCCTGGACGGCCTCTTTGAGGTTTCCCCAGGGCTGGGTGTTGGTTTCCTGGAGCAAGCCGCATGTCCAGGCGAATGCTCTCCATGGGGCATTTGCATAGCACCGGCTGCTAGGGTTGCCCACAGTCATCGTGAGGTTCTGGAGGATGACTTCCGTGGTGGTGGCGTAAGCCGGTTCCATCTTGCCCTTGTGCTAGGCCTTGGTTTTCACCTGGCTGGTGGGCTTTCGTATGTATGTATGAATGTATGTATGTATGTATGTATGTATGCATGTATGCATGTATGCATGTATGCATGTATGCATGTATGCATGTATGTGTGTGTGGGTGTGCGCGTGGCGCTCGCGCCTATATATATATATATATATATATATCCTTCATATATATATATATATGTGTATAGCTAAAGTTTATGTATATATATATGTATGTATGTGTGTGTGTGTCTGTGTGTGTAGTTGATTAGTCTCTACTCACTGCTCTGAGCCCCTCCCCCTGCATCTTTCCACAACCACAACACGCAATTGGCCCCTCCCCCACGCCAAAATCCACAGAGAAGCACGTTCAAAACCCCAGCCTTTCATCACGCTGAGCGGCACTGGGTGTCTTGCTCTCGCTCGCCCTTCGTGGGATCTTCCCACGTTTAAGGAAGTCCTGGGCGGTGTCGCGATATGGCTCAAAGGGCTGTCATTGTAGCAAGCACCAAAGTCAGAACCTACCAGCAAAGGGAACAAGCAAGTCCTGGTGGCTATGCTTGATGACTAAAGACCTTGAGTCATTGAGGTGGTCTCGTTTTAGATTTTAGAGTGCAGATCAAGGGCAGCAACCCTGGTCGCCAGTTCAACACAAATGCGAACTCTAGATTCTAGATCTTCTCTCCCTGGGCGGGGGTGTCCGTGCCCCAAAAGACTGGCAAAGTAGGCCATGCCCCTTCTTGTAGGAGGAGCTTCCCAGACATAGCTTTCTTGCGCCGCCACGACCTCCAAATGCGCCAGGAAAGCAAAAGGGTAACATGCACTGAAAGATTTGTTTTCGGGTTAGACTGAATTATGGAACCTTAACCTTGGCTGCCTTTTTCGTTCTCTGATCGAACACCCAACATGCCAATCAAACCAAGACCGCGCGAAACGCAAATCTAAACACCTGAGAATCTTTACGGGCCCTATAGTACAGAAACTCAAGCCTTTAAGCCACTCTCAATCTTCTAATTACTCCAAGTGACCTAATTACGCGGCTGACATCTACATCTCCGCAAGAATGATGGAATGCCATACTCCTCCTAACCAGTGCCCTCTCGCTCTGTCTGCCACACCTCTTCGCTCCGCAAGCTTGCCAGCCTGGCCGAAGCCCGGCAATTTTTCCGCGAACGCGGCGGAAGACAGGTGACTCAGGAGTTGGGCAAACCCGCTTCCAGCCTAGTGATTGGAGCCCTCCACCGCAGAGATGGTGGCATCTGCCCTCACACCTTAGAAGTGCACCCAGTCGGCATCCGGGGGCTGACCGCCGGAAAGCCTGGGTGGTTGCCCTCCCAAAAGATAGGCACACCAACCAGCATTCGCCAGTTCACCGCTGCATCAATTTATCAATGCTTGTTGTGGCATACGCGTAGGTTAAAGAAAGAAGAGAGAGAGAGAGAGAGAGTCGAGAGAGAAATAAATACAGTAAATAAATAAAGAAAGAAAAAGACGAACATGTGCAAATGTGTGCAGGTGACTTGAGTCATCTTTCACTGGCAGCATGCCGAGTAAACACCAGAAAACAAAGTTCCTGTGCCACCGTCTGGATACGAAGCCATCAGCGTCCTCCCAAATTCCCATATCTCCCTCATAGCGAAGTAGCGGCACCATACTGCAAACGGCAGCCCTGGCAGCATCTGAATCCAGTCTGGCTGGAGAAGCTCTGCGCAACGCAACGCCAACCTTTGGGATAGCCCCGACCAAACACAGTGAAGGCTGACTTGGCTTATTCCCCATTTGTCCTGACGTATGACGCACAAAAATGGATCAAAGTGGAGATGGGAAGTCTGAAGGCATGATGCCGCGTGCTGGCATTCCTTCTGAAATTAGCACGCCAAATCCAATTGAAGCCCCTTTGCAAGGGTGACATTGAGGTGAACTGGCTGCCAGCACGGTCGGCGATTGTTGCAAATTCTCATGTCCAGTCAATTGCTTTGGTCTACCACTGGGAACACTGGAATCCTTCATCCCCATCAGAATCTCACCATGCCACAGAGTTGGGTGCAGCCGGCTTCCCAGACCAACCTGGATCGGGCGGTTACACCACATACCAGTACCAGGTACCCCTGCCGCAAGCACTTCCAGGGTTGAGGGTTCGGACCTGGATCAACTTCCCATTGCTGGTGTTTCTGATGCTCCCCCCTTACAAAGGACAAGAGGCCAAGCCCCCGAGCGGAGACAAGAGAGAATCACTGGCATCTCTTTGCTAAAAGCTTTCAGCAAAAGGCATGTTGGAAGAAAATGGTGCCAGAGAGACGTGTTTCTTTTTGTTGTATCTTGTGGTCATCTGCATGATTCAGGGTCGTCCCTTATTATGACAGTAGATGATGGAGACATATATAAATATATGATATGATATCCTTAAAGATGGGACCGTGGATGTTGTTGGCGAAAGCACCGAAGGCATTGGATGCTTGTCATCTTTCGCCTTCGGTGGTTCACGTCCTCAGTCCGCGCAGTCACATCTCGCGCGCCTTTTGTGCCCCCGCTGGCGTCAAATCCATGTTGTTCCTGCATGGATGGCCGCAGCCGGAGACAATATTGCACTGACTTCACACTGCCTCAAACTACCAACCACAAGCAGGGCGTGGACTTCATAAATGTGGTGCCATATTGTGGTATGAAGTTCGACTTTTAGACTCTCAAATGGCCTTTCGCTGACCGCAGCTCCGGCGCACTCTTTGATCCCACAGAATCTGCGCATGGACCGGTCGAGCGCTCTTCACTCAAAGGTCATTCACGCAAATCTGACCTGCCGGTGACATCGGGAGGTTCAGCGCTTCCCTTGAAACGCAGCATCCTCCCAAGACGAGTCATCTAAAATGGAGGGCCATCAGAGAGACAAACAAAAAGGCCTCGTCCTCTACAAGCAGGTGGGGCTCTACCTCTTCATTCCTTTCATGTACTTATAAAAGCCTCGAGTTTCGAGCATGGCAAGCCCCTACTGTTTACCAAATCCTACACCTAGGGCCTAGGCATCTCCAATCCAATTGGAAGAATGCTAGGAATATGAGAATCCTTGTGCTCGCTAGGTAGAGCGCAGCTGGCGCAACGCAGCTCACCCAACCAGGGGGGAATTCCTTCTCTCATCAGTCTTCTCGCCCCGGCACCTGTATTCAGCCGGACCACGTCCGACAGTACATCGCTGGCGATCTGCCGCGCATGTGAGGCTTTCTTGTTGAGGCTCCTAAGATGGAAGGGTCGCGATGGGAGGTGGCACCACAAATCGGTGTTTGTTCAAGGGTGGCTGCTGGATACCCCCAAAAAGGTGCTCTGGTTGGTGGTGCTACACAAAACTGTCGACCCTTGGGCCGTGAAAGGCTCACCGAAACCGCTGTAAGCATGGGCCAATACCACATCTCATCTCCTGGCCATAAGCAGTCACAAGGTCTGCAGCTGAACAACAAATTGCCCCTTTCTGTGATGTTGCACCGCGCAAACACGTTGAAGATGTAGATGTGCAGTCCATGCACTCGCAGGACACCGCCGTTCTTGACAACACACCTACTATTATCTGGGAAAGACTCGACTTATGATAGGGGGTGGCTTATCGTACAGCATGGTGAGGATCCCAGCAATGCAATAAGCTTTCTTCAGTGGGTCTCCCTTCTCCCTTCTCTTGCGGAGTCCCCTGAGTGCTGTCCAGGCATCTGCAAGAGAGCTTGGCCATTGTGGAGGGAGAGGAAGTCCTCCATAACCTGCTTCACCTTGGCAAACATGCATGAAACACTTGAAGTCCGGAAAAAAATCGCCCACTGGATTAGGAACCACAGGATCCAGCCAGGGGTTGTGAAGGCCCCTCCCACGCATCTTGACCTAAAGACGGATAGCAACCGGTCGCCTCATCGCATCCTCCACCAACCCTTTGTTCAACAACTTGCCATCAGCCAGTAAATATGGAAGCTCTTACTGTACATGATCAAGAACAGTGTTGTCATGAACGACTTCTGAGGGGGCAGACAGCTTGGTGCCAACTTTTCCCTCTTTCACCCCATGAGGTAACTGCCTCTGTCCTGCAGCCTTTTGTCCAGTAGCTGCTGTTGCCATGTCACTCGTTTCGTCCCAATCGGGCAAACCCTCCGGCAGCCCCAGCCAAAAAATGCTTCACTTGCATGCAGTCAGTTGTTTGGGTTCCAGGGACTTAATGAGGCTTGCAGGCACATGTACAGTAGCCGTCCAGAATTTGTTCCACTGAGGGCGGATGGCCAATGTCCACGGACAATCTTTCAAGCATTGCACACTGCACACCAAGAAATAGCTCCTCCACAAGTTTTTCGGGCTTGGAGCTGCCGACACCAGCGCGTTGAAAGAGTTATGCTCACTTTCGATCGGTCCAAACTACCCACCTCAAACCTCAATGCGGTGAATTCTCCCGACCGCATCGATTGGCCCGAGAGACCTGGTTGTCTTGGGACGCCGACCCGTCGAAGGAACCAAGACTCGGTATGTGGAGTTCTCGCGTTCCAAGTCACCATCTCTCGCCTCCCGACATCACTGGTCACTGCTGCCCAAGCTGGACCTTCCATGACTGCGGCGTCATGCGCCAACGCCACCTGCAAAAGCATGCCAGCTTGGATTCTGAGGGCTGCGATCCAAGGCTTCTATCTGGCTTTCTCCCTCCAAGCCCACTTTTGCATTTCTCCCGGGCCTGGTCCATCTGCAGCAACTTCACCTCCATGGCTTCAAAGCCCTGGTGCTGCTGACACAAGACGCCCACCTCAAAAGGTGACAGTCGGAAGGCTTCCAGGAATCCGTCTGAGGGTTGGGATGTTTTGCTCGTCCAATACGGGAGAAGCCCCCGCTACCCCCTACGGGGTGATCAAATCTCTGCTGAGGCGCTTGAAGCGTAAAATGAAAAGGCTGGTCACAGCACATGTAGCCATTGAACCACTCCTGCGGAGCGAATCAACTGCAAGCCTGCATGTTCTTGCTCGGGGGCCAAAGAAGAACTCAATCACACCCCTTGGGGCACAAGCCACCAAGCTCATTCACATATTGGGGATTCTGTGAGACAACAATGATCCCAAGCCCTCGAAAAAGAGGGTCGGCTTTTCGGGACACTCCTTGTCATCGATCGAGACCTTCATGAAAACCTTCAGCGCGTTGTGAGGCATCATGTGAGAGATCCACATGATGGAAACCGGTCACTTGGGAAAAAGAATCTCACACAGACGATCTGTGATCCAAAAGGTTGCTGGGAGCGAGAGCCAATGGTGCGGGGTCCAAATTGAGCTCTGTGGGTGTCCAGCTTTCCAAAATCTCCAAGTTCAAGGCAGCAATAAGGCAGCGGTGGAACCTCGAGATCTGTGTAAAATTGTTGAACTGCAACCGCAACACCTTGGAGCAATACAAAGAAGATTGAAAACTGTCTGAGACGGATCTCCTGATACTAGTTCAGTCACCGGGCCCCAAACTAGAAAAGGGAATCCCCTATGGAAATGTATATGTTTGGAGTACTACGTCCAGCGAGTTCAGGGTCAAATTGGCCTAAGAATCACGTCACCCAACCCGTGATCGATTCCAACCCTCTGCCAGGCCACATGCAAATCATTAAATGCCGCTGAGACATTCCTTGGTTGGTCAGTGGACTCAGCGCACTAAAAAACCCAGAGTTCCGCGAAAACTAAAGCTGATCTATAGAAAAGTTCTGTATGCACCGGCCCTGTTGCCTTGCCATAAAGAAATGCTGCAAATACCTGAACCTACAGGGCCACCGCATTGCATAGCACAATGCTGACATTTGTGGCATTCTGCTGGGTTCCGTGCTCTTGCACAATCTGAAGGCAAGGGATGATTGAGCCTTTGTTTTACTCAGTCTATGGCTTTGGCGCATGCTGTACCTCACCGATCAGGCCCTCTTTTCTGCGCCTTCTGCATCACCACGTTTGAGGCATTCCTAAAGGTATGAACCCCTACCGAAGTCCCCAGAACGTGTTGGTCCGTGGGCTGTCTGCACCAATCGCTCCATATATACGTATGCATGTGTACATAAATGTGTATATATATATATAGCTATATACAGTTAGTACATATAGAGTTATATATGTACATTTTGTTATATAGTTATATATAGATAGGTATGTATGTATGTATGTATGTATGTATAGATAGATAGATAGACAGATAGATAGATAGATAGATAGAGCACGTCCATCCCAAATGCCTGGACCTTCATCCCTTCGATCACCAAGTGGCAGGTGCCAAGCTTGTGTGGCCACCAATGGGTTCGGGGGAGGCTGCACGCGCACGCGATGCACCTCCAAGGTGTTCATCCCCTGGCATGTTCGTGGCCACGACAGAACGCAGCAAAGAATTCCTCGGGGTTTGACCGGTCTTTCGCCAAGAGTGGTGTGGCGGAGTTTGTTCCAGGCCTGGTAGGAATTGGAGGTGAAAATACAGTTTTGGATTTTGGAGCAACTGTGCGCTGCTTTGGCACTTTTTCCACAATGTAGGGTAGAGGGTGGTAGAGGTGACAACTCATCCGTCAATGGTTCTTTGGGCTGTTCCACCCACCCAAATTCCAGAAAAACTCCTTGGTTGATGATCCTGCTGAATCGCTCAAGATTGCATCATCGTCATCATCATCACCATCATCATCATCATCTTTTCTTTCATACGCTCTTCAGTCGAAGATCGCGTGGACCCGGTGGTCCATCTGGAGCCCTGTAGGGCCTGTACCTTAGCAAGCAGGTATGGCAGCCGAGCAGATGCTCGAGCCGGTCCTTTTGTTGGGACCTCAACATCAAATGCAGCATCGAGACCTGCCTCAAGCAGGGGCGACAGGTCTTCAGACCCGTGCCATAAAAAGGAAAGCGGGCGCACAACCTCATTGGGCGTGCTCTTGAAATGAAGCTCACTGCGCACTTTCAGCCAAGGGACCGGCATCTTGCCATCTGGTTCGAGGTACCGCAGGAAGGTGTCATCAATGTCCCATGGCCAACTGCCACAAGTGATGCATTTCGTCTGGTACAGACAGGGATTGTTCACAAGGAAGAAGGCGTCCAAATGGTCAAGGCGGTACAGCCCGGATCCATGCCAGTTGTCGTTGATGTCAGAGTCATGAATGAAGTGGTTCACCTCCTCCGGCGTAATCGAGATGAGGGACTCGTCCGCCAACCAAGAGGCTGCTGCTGCCCCCCCGGAAGGAGTGCAGACCAGCCAAAGAAGACAACTGTTCTCTTGAGCCACTCGAAGAAGTCCTAAGAATTTGACCAGAACAGGGGAGCCACCAAAGACCCAGCACCAGTCCTGGTCATTGATGGCAGCGCAGTAGTGCCCACTGGAGACCTCCTCACTAAGATGGTAGTAGACTTCGAAGACCTGGAGGAAGTTGAAGTCCACCTCGAGCAGCACATTCAAAAGGTACGGTCGATCAGGAAAAAAGCGACCAAGAGACCCATCACACCATGAGAGCCGCGCCAGATGGCTGGACCCTTTCCAAATGAAGATCATGTTGCCGCCAGGCTCCCCAGTGAAGCCACTTTGGATGTAGGCATGGTTGTTA